TTTTATCAAGTAGATATCGGAAGCAAATTTTATTTAATAATACAAAACCATTAATTTAACAATAATCAAGAACAAACTATTATTTATGAAATAAATATATTATACAAATTTAACAAATTTATTAATTTAACAATAATTATGGAACTATTATCTATGAAATAGATATTAATTTAACAATAATTATAAAACAACCACCCTGTTTCTATTATCCACACCTAATAACAAGAAAAAATAAATATATTATACAAAACACCAATTATAAGAATGCCCACCATGCTCATTAGTATATGCTGTCATACTTGTATGTAGGCAGTAGTAGATTAATTACTAAATTTTGACCCTGAATTTCTTGGTGACGCGATGTCCACTCAGAGCAAGATTACGTGTAACCCAAATCAAAATTGTAAACTCTTTTACTATGACAACTACTCTTTGAACACCAATTAAAAGTGCTCAACATGAAATTTATATATAGTGACATCTTTTGAGTTGTCAGGTATTCTCTCCATCCTCTCCAAAAACATAGAATTTCTGTGCTTTTTTGCTAGTTACGTTGGGAAGATGTGTTCACTTTGGACACGTGAAAAGGACAGGGGAGAGGGCATCCTGTCCCCTGTCCTTTTCACGTGACACGTAGAAATCGCAATAAAAAAAATGATAGTGTTACAAGTTTCAAGTGAATTTCTTAAAATTATGCGACTTAAAGACTTAGAAAGTGCACTTCAAGAAGTTAATGGATTTGGTAAATTTAATCACAATATTAATTGATTTATATATTAATATGTATATGTATATGATGCATCATTTTATTTATTATATAGAAGAACCAAAGATTAAATTGGAACAATATAATACAACGTCACATCTAGCATCTCGCATGGTATTTACAGCTCATTCAAATTATGATGATATTGAGGGCAAAATTGTTGCAGATTTTGGGTGTGGATGTGGAATATTAAGGTAAATAATCAATTAATAATTCCAAATAAACATATAAACATAAATTATATTTGATATATTATTATTAATTGTCAGCATTGGATCAAATCTTTTAGATTCAAGGTATAATATAAAAATTATATATATTTTTTTTCAATAATGAAAAGTCAAATTAATTAATTAATTATTATCTTTTTATTTTTAGTCATAATGTTGCATTAGATATTGATGAATCAGCAATTAATATTGCTAATAAGAATATCAAAGCATTTGATGTTGAAATAGATTTGGTAATAACAGATTTAAAATTGGATCCATTAGACAAATATAAAAAAAAAATTGATACAGTTATAATGAATCCACCATTTGGAACTAAAAATAATAAAGGAATTGATTTGATATTTTTAAAAAAAGCAATTGAGGTAAAAAATTAAAAAAAACTTTTGCAAGTGTATTATTATTCTTAAACAAAAAATTTTATATTTAAATAATAAATTATCTGATTTATTTAAAGATTTCAAGTACTTCTGTATATTCATTACATAAAAGTTCCACCAGAGAACATATTATCAGGAAAGCTAAAGAATGGAATGTGAATTGTGAAGTATTGGCTGAAATGAAGGTATGTGATTTTGATCTTATTAATTAATTATGACATGATGTAATGAGATTTTAATCAATATTTTTTTTTTTATTAATTTTAAAAGTTTGATGTTCCAAAAATGTACAATTTTCATAAACAAAAATCTGTTGACATAGAAGTTGACTTTTTAAGATTTGAAATTAAAGAAAATTAAGTTATGTTGAAAACAAAATACTTTGATTTCTAGCTGTAGTTATCAGTTGAAAAAAAATCTTGAATTTAAAATAATGAATCAACCCAATGATTTTCTACTGCTACTGCTTAACGTTTCTTTCCTTTTTCTTTTTCATATTCTTTTAACAAACGCCAAAATAGATTTTGTCCATATTTTATATACAAATATCCAAACAGAGCTCCTGCCAAATGTGCCTAAATCAATTAATAACAAATATATTGTTGTTATTATTATTATTCTTCATTATTATCTTCTTCTAGTAAAGTTAGTAATATATTACTTACATAATGATCAAAAATTGTCATTCCTGAAACAATTCCATAAACATCAAAAGCCAACATAGCAGGAAATGCATACCCCAATTTTATTGGAAAAATAGGTAAAAAAATCAAAACAACTGATAAATCAGGCTTTTTGATAGCACATACGCTTACACATGCAAATATAGCACCTGAAGCCCCTAATGTTGGTAGTATTGCTAATGGTGCCTTGGTCATCAAAGTAATGACATGACTAGCACATGAGGAAAATAATCCTGATGATAAATATAATGCTAAAAATTGTTCACGGCCACCAACCATACGATGTGTTAAATCACCAAATGAATACAGTGCAAACATATTCAAAGCAAGATGCCATATTTCCAAATGACTGAATGTTGATGTTAGAAGTGTGTATGACCGGCCTGATAATGGATTATGTAGAAAATTTTGTGTCATAAATGGTCGTAAAGTTGGAATTTGCCACATTAAAAAAACTAGTGTGTTAATACCAATTAATACTGCTATTGTTTTATCTGCTTCACTCCAATTATTCCACCATTTATTTTTCAAATATCTAAAATTTTTATGCAACTCTTTATAAATTTCTAAATCTTGAATTCGTTGAAGTTGTCTACCAAAGATTCCTTTGATCCAACCTTCTCTAAAAATAATTACATCTCCACCAGCATTATCATTGCCAAATTTATCTTTGAATGGGTTCATGTTATATCGATATATATTCCTTTTATGTTCTGTTTGTACTATTGCTGTAGAAAATATACCTCCTGTAGTAAAAATTGTAAATAGCATAGGTTTAAAAATTGATGATTGTTGTCTTCTTTGACTATTATTATCATTATCACTATTATTATTATACCTATAAATAATAGGTTTTCTATTATGATTATAATTTCTTACACTGAAAAAAAATTTTGATTGATCATTATAATTATTATTACATATTCTAATCACTGATGATTGTTTTTTATTATAATTAGTATTAATAAATGGTAAAATTTTTTTAGAAATTGTTGAATTTAAAGAATTCTTTGGAAAATATATTATTCTAAACATTGTAAAATTTATTTTTATTTAAATTTTTAAATTTCAAGTTGAAAATCTAAAAATTGATGGATGAGTCACAATCATTAACGCTAATACTAATATAAATTAGCGTGGAGAACTTTTTATTACACTTAAATTGAAACCTATACCTAAACACAAATTCTATATAGGTAAAGTGTCTTGGGTGTAAGTTCCAATGTCGCGAGCGACTCTTGTCATACTTCTCTAATATACCTTAAAAGTATATCACGGCTTCGTTTACATTTCTATCAATGGCGGAATTGCAAGATGTATACACATCTAAAGATCTTTCTTTGAAGGATTCAGATTTTGTTTGTATACTCCTCAGTGTAGATGACCGACTACCTTACACTAAGGATAGTCGCGGAATTTATGGAGAATATGACTTTTCAATTGATAAATGTGACCCAGGTCAACATTTGTTAAATTGGATTTTTCTAAAACCTCCTTTGGCTTGCATGTCTTGTGTTTTAAACTCGGGAATTAAAACCACATGGTGGTTTTCGCGTAGCCGTTTTGCCAATTTTCGATGACAAGATTATGAATTGTCTTATGGATTCAGAGCATACATTGACGGAATTTATAACATGAATAGAATCCTTTTCTATCATGGTGCAAGCTTAAGTGGATATATTCTATTTAGATTCCTATAACTTCACCACATGGGTTATATCCGATCATGAAAGTTCTCACTCCTGGATCAAGAGAAATGATGTCAGCACCTCTATCCTCTTCAACCACCGAAAATTTAGCACATCCAATTTCAAGTGGCACAAGTAGGATTCACCAAGGTGATTCATGACGAGATGACAATCATATTTTAATCCAGGTATTTTCTTAGTATCTTTTTGAGGAATGAATAGTCGCTTTTTATTCTTCCACAATCTATTGATCTAATGACAATTGACTGTAATTTGTCTTTTTTAATCTAAATTTTTTTTGCAGCAATATTTGAATTATAATTATTCATTACTGCTTCCTTAATACTATAAGGAAACTGTTTGAGATCAAAGTCCAACAAATTTTCAGATTTATTGATATAATTAACACATAAATACTGACTTTTTTATTTTTTATATCAATATTAACTGCAACTGGACATATATTAAATGTTTAGCGAGCAGTCTATATCCATTTAATATGGTTTATTTTTCTTTGAATTGGGTAAAATCTGACTTTAAGAGCTTTCCTGGGCGGAGAGGAGTTTTTTAAAAGAAGGATGAAAAAGTTACATATTTAAAACTCTTTCCATATCGCCATCTGGTATGATTTAAATAATGTTAATTTAGTTGAATCAGCTGTAATCCATGACTCAAGAGCAAAGATGCATCCATTGATTTGGGCACAGTGAATTACTGGTGGTTTTAAGGAGTACTTATCCCATAATTTCTTAAACCTTACATTAGAAGAAAAAATTGGTTACGATGATGAGTCACGGCTAACTGAGGGAAGATTGCATAAAATTTTTAAATTTTAATAATAAATATAAGAAATATAATCAAAGAATTTCTTTTTTAATAATAAAAACAAACATGGAACAGGAACAATTTCTTTCTTACGTTAAAATCAGTAATTAGTAAAGCCAACTAAACCAAACTTCTCTAAACTGAGTTTTTTGGGAAGCTAGAGATTATAATTTCATCTATAAAATTTTTAACTCCAAATTTTCATGATTCATTAACTTTATCATTAACATCTTTATCTTTATCTTTTTGATAATCATCATCATCGTCATCATCATCATCATCATCATCATCATCATCATCATCATCATCATCTTTAATTTCTAAAAAAAAAATTTCGAGTAATTAATTAACTCGCAAAAAAAGAGAAACATCATGAAAAATATCAATTATATTAATTACCATCACGATATATATCAGGATGTTGTTTGAAACAATTGTTCATCTCTTTGAATGCATCAAGACAATCAATACCTTTTGGTTCTTCTTTTGAATAAACAAAACAAGAAAATGCCACTTTGAATTGTTCACCACAAGGACCATTTGCCATTCCTCCTAGACAAGGACAATCCCAATTAATTTCTTCTGTTTCCTCATTATATGCATCTTCTACTTTATTTTCCTCGCCACCTTCTTCTACTTTGAATTCTTTTGTTGTTGTTGTCAACGATAATGATGGCGTGGTGGATAATGGTGTAGATGATGATTTTGTATTATTGTTATCATCAAACATAATATTGTTTTGTTCTTGTGTTGATGATTTTGATGAATTTTTTTCCATTTTTTTTTTAATCAAAAAAAAAATCGATACATGTGATGATTTTCTTAAGATGGTAACATCTTATTATTTGATCCTTTTTGACTTAAAATACATCAATAACAGTGTAAAATGTATGTTTTTATGTTTATTATTATTAATATTTTATTTTTTTTAAAAAAAGAGCAAACCTGACAATCTATCAATCAATATATATAGGACAAGAACATCAGGAAGTAGAAGTCGATCAAGGAGTCGACCTCCACGCTCTGTATCACATTCAAGAAGTCGACGCTCTTACTCTTCATATTCTTCACGTAGTGGCTCTTATACTAGTAGTAGAGAAAACAGATCACCAGCACCAGCAGCACCAACTACACCATCAGCACCAACAACGACAAGAGGTCGTAACTCTTCTAGATCACCGCCACCGCCAACCTCCTCTTCACATCATCATAGTTATACCTCTTCACGTAGACAACGACGTTCCTCTTTGTCTCCTGTACTTCCTACAAAAATTATGGTTAATAAATTAACAAAAAATGTCAAAGAAGCTCATTTACAAGAAATATTTGGTGCATTTGGTAGGATTAATCGAATAGAAGTATTGATTGACGAAAAATGTATGTGATGATATTAGTTAAATGCAGTTTAATCAAATCAACCAATTAATTAATTGTAATTTTTAAAACTTTTTAAAAGGGCAAACAAATAGAGGTACAGCCTATATCAATTTTGAAACTAGAAATGACGCAGAAAGAGCTATAAGTTATATGGATGGGGTAAATCATTAATTCTTAATTGTTAATAAAATAATCAATAATGTAATTAACTAACACAATATATCGTTTAAATTGCGTAGGGCCAACTTGATGGAAATATGTTATCTTGTACATTGGTTCCACGTCGTCAACCATCACCACCTCCAATTAGACGTAGACGTATGTATTAATTTTTAAAATATATACAAAATATAATATATATATATTAATTGCTATTGTTATCTTCTTCTTCATTCGTTCTATGGTATAAAGCGATTACGAGGTACAATTCACCACCACCATTTCGACGATTTACGGCTAGTAGTTATCGTGGACGCGGAAGATCTCCACCAAGAAGATATTCTAGATCAAGATCAAGATCACCACCAGTTCGTCGTAGAAGGTCTTATTCTTACAGTTCTTACAGTTCACATTCAAGTCAATCCGATTCCTCTAGAAGTCATAGTAGAAGCTATTCACCAAAAAGTCATTCTCATACCCACTCTCCTCAAAGTGCAAATCATAATCGTCATTAAAAAAGATTAATATATGCAAAACATATATATTAATCATTGGTTTTTAACTTTTTTTTATCTTAAAAAATATTTTTTTTTTTAATCAATAATTGGCTTATAAACATCATCATCTTATTTTACTTGTTTTAATTTGCTGATTTCAATTCTCTTAATCCTTTTTTTTTATTTCAAAAAATAAAAACAATTACTGACCAATCCATATATATATATATATATATATATATATATGTATGTATATATATGGATTACTTAATATTATTTGTGTTTTCAGGAATGTATGCATCTTTCTATTTTATAGAAAATTTTCAAAAAAAATAGTCATCATTTCTCTTGTGTGAATAATTTTACTGGATTAATTGTAAATTGGTATTTATGTTTTGTTGGTCTTTGGTAGATTTGAAATTTGAATTTATACAAGTTTTACATGTATTAATATAATCTTTTTAATATGTAGCTTGTTAGATATTTTAATTCTACCAATTATTTTTCTTTCCTTCTATCCTTTAAATTCAAAAAAAACGATCAAGTAGTAACTAGTAAATCTATTGTTTAGATTTTAACAAAGTAAGCAATGATAATTTATATTTATGTTCCATTTTTTAATTTATCTTTTATTGCTTTTATTAGTATAATATCAATTACTCATTATAGATAGGTACAAAATTTTATTAATTTATAATTTTTAAAAAAATATATTAATGTGCATTTTGCAAAAATAAATATTGGAATCAAAAGAAATCAATAAAAATAGACCAGCTAATATCTATAAAATCAAAATATTATCAGTTCTAATAAAGATTCTCTGTTGACAAGTAGAACATCATATAATGAATGACAAATTATTTTGTTAATTCTCCTTGATTAGGAAAGACCACTATCAGGTCTTTCTGATATTGAATATGTTGAAGAATTTGAATGTTTGTTGTTGATGATAGTGATCACAATCATCAATATTCATTAAGGGGTTACACTTATCAAATCATCCAAAAATTCCTTATATTATGTGTCAATCACTTGTTTTTGATAAGTGTAACTCCCTTTAATATTAATGAATATTCACCGGAATGCGAATTAGACCTTAATTCGCTGATCAATAACCCCGAAAATCCGGAGTAATATTTTCTATATTATTTATATTGTTTATTTATTTATTTATTATTTTTAGTTATTTATTATTTATTTTTAGTTATTTCATCTATTATTTATTTTTAATTTTATTTTATCCTATTTTATTTTGTAATAATTTCCGAATGATTCATGAGTTCGTATTACATTCCGCAGAATAACACGTTCGCATTAGACCTTTATTTAGTAGAAATTAATGAAGATTATCCTGAATCAGGATATATATCTTAGATTA